TATAGTAAATGAAGACATGTTTGTAGGAGTACCGATAGATGGAGAGGTTGATCATGCAAAAAAACTGGAGGACTGTTTTTTGAAACTTAAATCTGATTATGCATATATGCTATTTTTATTCCTCTCTTTAGTTATCTGTCAAGGAACATTTGTGCAAATGAGTTTTCTTTATGGATTTTAAGCATGCAGGCTGGAATGCTAGCAGAAAGATATCCCAAATACTGCTTTTATATACTGCTTTTCCTCAAGATTTTCAAGGTTAGCCGAATTCCGAGTTCTGGTTAGTCATTGTGGAAATGAAATGTCATCTGGCCTATAGGACAGACCACAATGAGGCAGTTTCGCTTTGATCTGAAGATGAAACACTGCTTTCCAAACGAGGAATATTTATAAACTAATGGGCAAGTCTCAGGACAAACAAATCTCACTTGTGACTGTGTTGGGAGTGGAAGGATGGCAAAATTCATAGTACGTTACCGGTGAGTTGAATAGGATGAGTTATTACTAATAATATCCAACGGGCTGTCACTTGGGTTGCATTTCACATCTTATGTGGACTGGCAGATGAAGGTAGTGTTGGAACTTGTGAATTACAGCTTTTTTTACCCTACTGTTTAACCCAAATAAGAAACTAGGAGTATTTGTTTAATATGAGTATGTGGATGCCATAAAATGCCTGACAAACAAGGGTGAGTGTGTGTATACACCTATACATGTATACTTACGTATTTCTTGCAGAACAGAAATATTGTGGGTGGGTATGTGGGGCTGCCGAATTCTATATACTGTGCCAGCTGCTGAGGTCTCGGGCTGTGGTGGCACACACGGTGCTTCCAGTCAGGCATCATCTTAAAACTTCTGCATTATGGGCATTTCTGTTATTGAGGCCTGGTCACACAGCGCGTTTCAGTGGGGCAGGAGTTCCCGGTTGGAGGAAACAGTTGGACGCGTGGTGAGCTGTTTCTAGTCTGGGGAAGGACTGCAGCATTCGCAGAGCTTCAGCGAACTGCTTTTGAATTGACACCTTTGAAATGAAGCTGCAGGGTGGCACGATGTCCACTGCGCTCGCCTGGGGCCACAGTGTGCAGCCCCAGGGGGGGGGGGG